CTGTCTGGGATCTCTTCTCTGCTGCCTCATCTGAGTCCCCCAAACTCTGCACCCACCTTCTTGCTTCAAACACCTTCCCTTCACTCCTTTGATTTTGTCCAGTCTTCTCTTTAAAACTCCTTGCCTGTCCTGGGATACCTGCCCCACTCTTCTGCAACCCCTCCCGTGCAGTGGTCTTTGACTGCCATAACACCTCCTACTCTGCTGTCGAGAGCATCTCCCTCCCATATTACTCCTCCTCTGCTCTGCTGTTTGGAGCTCTCCTCCCATATCACATGCTCCCTCTAAGATCAGGAACAAGACAAGGCTCTCCACTATTGCCACTGTTATTCAATATAACACTGGAGGTCCTAGCGAGAGCAATCAGTCAAGAGAAAGATATAAAAGGCATCCAAGTAGGAAATGAAGTCAAACTGTCACTTTTTGTGGATGACATGATTCTCTCTATATAAAATCCTAAAGACTCCACGAGAACACTGCTAGAAACAATAAGCACATATAGTAAAGTCTCTGGATACAAAATCAATATTCAAAAATCCATAACATTCCTATACTTTAATAATGAAGTGTCAGAAAAAGAAGTGGAAAAAATAACTCCTTTTGCAATTGCAACTAAAAGAATAAAATACCTAGGAATAAATCTAACAAAACATGTGAAAGATTTATATAATGAAAACTATAAGACTCTATTAAAAGAAATCGAAGAAGATACAAAGAAATGGAAAGATATTCCATGTTCTTGGATTGGAAGAATCAACATAGATAAAATGACCTTATTATTTAAAGCATTATACAGATTCAATGCAATACCCATCAGAATTCCATTGGCATTTTTTTAAAGAAATAGAACAAAAAATCATCAGATTTGTATGGAAGCACAAATGACCCTGAATTGCCAGAGCCATCCTGAGAAAAAAGAATGAGGCTGGAGGCATCACTCTGCCTGACTTCAAATTATACTACAAAGCAACAATAATCAAAATAGCATGGTATTGGCAGAAAAACAGACATACAGACCAGTGGAACAGAATCAAGAGTGCAGAAATAAACCCATATTTATATAGGCAAATAATTTTTGACAAAAAAGCCAAAAACATAGTGGAGTGAAGAAAGCCTCTTCAATAAACGGTACTGGGAAAACTGGAAAGCCATCTGCAAAAGAATGAAACTAGACTGTTGTCTGTCACCACATATCAAAATTAACTCAAATGGATTAAGGACATGGATATAAGACCCAAAACAATAAAGTGCATAGAAGAAAACATAAGAACTAAACTCATGGACCTTAGACTTAAAGAGAATTTTATGAATTTGACCTCAAAGGCAAGGGGAGTAAAGGCAAAAATAAATGAATGGGACTACATCAAACTAAAAAGCTTCTGCACAGCAAAAGAAATCATCAACAAGGTAAAGAAGTAACAACAAAAAACAAACAATCCAATCGAAAAATGGGCAGAGGACCTAAACAGATACATCTCCCTAGAGGACATACAAATGACCAACAAATGTATGAAAATATGCTCAACATCACTATCTATTAGGGAAATGCTAATTAAAACCACAATGAGATACCATCTTACACCTGTTAGAATAGTTGTTATCAACAGGACAAGTAATAACAAATGTTAGAAAGGATGCCGAGAAATAGGAACCCTCATACACTTCTGGTGGGACTGCGAATTGGTATAGCCACTATGGAAAACAGTATGGAGTTTCCTCAAAAAACTAAGAATTGATCTACCGTAAGATCTAGCAATCCCTCTACTGGGTTTGAAAAGATGAAAACTCATATCGAAAAAGATATCTGCACACTGATGTTCATAGCAGCATTATTCACGGTGGCCAGGACATGGAAGCAACTGAAGTGTCCTACGATAGAAGCTGTGGTACATATATACAATGAAATATTACTCAGCCATAAGAAGAGATTAAATACTGTCATTTGTGACAACATGGATGGACCTCGAGATAATCATGCTAAGCAAAATAAGCAAGACAGAAAACGTTGAAAACTACATGGTATCACTTATATGTGGGATATAAACCTAAAAGCAACAAACAAACAGGACAAACAGAGACTAATGGACATGGACAATAGACTAGTGATTACCAGATGGTAGGAGCAAGGAGGGAGGCAGATGGGTTAAAAGGGGTCAAATATGTGGTGACAGCAAGAAATCTAACAGTAGGGAGTGAATATACAATGCAAAATATATATGGCTTACTGTTGATTTGTACACTTGAAACTTACTGGATTTCGTTATCCAATGTCACTATAATAAATTTTTTTTTAATTAAAAAAAAAAAAGAATATGGACTTTAAAGTGTAGTGTCTATGTTAATTTCCTGAATTTGATAATTGTACCACTGTCATTTAAGATAATATTCTTGTTCTTGGATAATATGCACTAGAGTATTAAGAGATAAAAGGGCATAATGTATACAACTGACTCTCAAATGGTCCGGAAAAAAATATAGTACATATATAATGATAAAAAAAAAGGTCAAAATGTGAAAGATTGATTAATTTAAGTAAAGAATATATGGAAATTCTTTGTAACTATTCTTGCAACTTTTCTATAAGTTTCAAATTATTTCAAAATAAAAAGATTTTTTAAAGGTACATAAACAGGAGAGAAATAGTCAAGTGAAGATATAGAATAGATAAAAATAGTTCCAAGTGACAAGTCAAATGCTGACTTTACTGTAGCTTTCTCCCTTCCATCCACTTTTCTAAAAAGGCTCTTACCCTTGACCTCAGGAAGCTGCCACATCCTAAGTGCCTCACTCAGCTTTTAGTTCCCCAGCTCCTGGCCTACCTCCCTGTGAAGGTACCATTTTTCTTCCCCAGGCATTTGGAGGCTGGCCTCTTGAACTCTTTGAGCCCTTAAAACCAAAGAAACCCCATTCCAACACTGCAACCCGCCCAGGTGTTCCCAACATATAATTTCCCCAGGCCAAGGGCAAGATGGGTAACTTAAGCTGCCTCATCTTTCCCACAAGCAGTAGATTCACAGTGTACAGTTAATAAAAAAAACCCTAACACCCACACCTATGCATTATATATACCTGTCAACAGAAGCAGGCTAGGTCCAATGAATAAGAGCTGCAGAAAGATGGTCTGAGTTTGGCTTTCATTCCACCATTTAAAAGTTGTGTGACTGACAGCAAGTCAACCAGTACCTTGAGCTCATTAATCATTCACTCAACATTACCCACCTATTAAATATCAGACTCCATTTTAGGAGACAGTGATACAAAATCCCTGCTCCCAGAACTTACATTCTACTTAAGTGAGACAGATAATAAATAACTGAAACATAGTATGCCAGATGCTTATTCATATCATGGAGAAAAAAAAGGGCAGATAAGGGAATGGTAAATCCAAGACTAGAGGGTTAAAATGTAATTTGAAATAGGGTATTTAAGGAAGGCTTCACTAAGGAGGTGATATCTGAACAAAACTCTAAAAGCAATGAGGGAGCAAATCATGTAGATGAATGAACATTAAGGCAAAAAAAGGACAGCAGATGCAAAGGCCCTGGAGCAGGGATATGCCTAGGTTGAGGGATGACTGCTTAAGCTCTTTGAAGGCAGGGAAAGAAATTACACTGAGCAAGAGCTCAGTAAATATTGATGGGAGATGGGAAGCAAGAGAGGGACTGTGATATTCAGAGATTTTCAGGTTGAATTTCAGGAACAGAGGAAAAGTAGCATCAGTGTTATAAAGCTGAAGAAAAATAGGTGATCAACTGATTTTATGTCCTGTCTTTCTGGCTTTCTCTTAAAAATATTTCTCAATTGGAGATAATTCATGGAACTCGAAGATTTTTTTTTTATGTTTGCTTTCTGGCTTTGAATTGAAAATAAGGATTTTTTTTTTTAGTTTGTTTTACTATATTTAAGACATTTTTCAGATATATAAATCTCTTTAAGATTAGGGCTTGGAATTCAAATTATTAATGCTCTCACAATTTTATATTTGGAAGAAATCAAAATACCACTTATAACAAGAATAATGAGCTTATGGGGGAATTATTTGTAGTTATGAATAGGGCTTTTTTTCCCCTCCAAATGGTCAAGAGATTTGGATGTTCTTTTGCTATGGTTTGGACAGTTTGTATTTACCTCTTCAAATAACTTTGGATGACTTTTATATGACTATGTTATTATTTTCATAAATGGTATTTTTAGGAATTGGAAATAACAAAAAGTTCTGGTAGACTTGCCACTTGTCCTTAATTACTTATGTAACTAAACGCCTCTTTCCCAAATGACTGAGAAGCAATACCAGCCAGGAATTCTAAGTGTAAAATGGATATTTTTTAAAACGGTAGCAATAATAGAAGACATAACAGTGGTTTGGTTGCTGGGTTTTGTTTTTTTTTAACTTAGTTTCTATTTAAATTATAAAAAACAAAATTCTTTTTTTTTTTTTTTTTGGTGAGGATTTTTCAAGAATGATAAGTGGACAAGGCTCTGGTCTCAAGATACAATCAATGCCCATTTGTTTCAATATCACTAAAGTACAGTTAATTTTAGAAAGACTCCACTTTTGGTCTTTTCGCTCCCACTAAAGATTTTTTGGGGAAAAATTTCCCATTTTAGACTCTCATCTGCCTTTTAAAAAAATTAATTTGCATTCTTTCTATTATTTGATTGAAAGGTAACAAATTCTAAAACATACCAAAATAATATAGTTAAAATTTTAACTTTATTATTTTCCTATTATAAAAGTAATGCATATTTATAATATAGTAAAAGGTGGGGCACAAAAGGCATAAAGAAGTTAATTTTTAAATTGTCTATAATCCCATCCTAGGGAAAACTATTAACATTTTGGCATATTTCATCTCTCTTTTCCTCTGTATTTTTGAATGTAGCTCAGATATTACTATATATAAAGCAATGTATTCAGCTTTTTTAACATAATATTATATTAAAATTATTTTTCTCATATCAATAAAATCCTCTTTGTAAACATAATTCCAAAGGCAGAATAACATTCCATCATAAGGATATACTATAGTTTATTTAAACATTCTCCTGATATCAAATACTTAATAGCAGAGTTAGTAGGTCAAAGCATATAAACACTATTATAGCCACTTTTTCATAAAAAGTTTGATAACACAGAGCAGGAATACACAGAGCCAGTGAGGGTGAGCGGGGGTGTCAAGACCAGCAGCCAGAAGGAGGAGGCTCAGAGGTCCTGGCCTAACCGTTCCAGCTCATTGAGAAGGAAGTCCATATCAGCCCGGGTCAGCGCTGGGTTGGCCACGACCATGCGGAAAAAGTTGCCCCGGGTCCCATGGGGCTGGTAGCCAATCATCATGGAGCCCTCCTTCACCATGCGCTCCTTGAGTATAGGGGCTACCTATAGATGGGGTGCAGAGAGCGTCCAGTTGCAGCCTGGGGTCAGGTGAGGGGTGGGGTGGCTTTCTGGCCATCAAGTTACCCAAGATGCATTTCCCTCCCACCCAGCCACCTGCCGGAGGTAGAACCAATTGCTTTGATCCTGACCGTGGCCTTCTTCACCTTTTCTACCACATCTAACTTGCTTGGCCTTCCTACTCTATGCTTTATTCCCCCATCCTGCCTATCTCCAGGTTGTCATATGGACCATTTTCTGCCAAATCCTGACTTCTCCCAGATTCCCAACACTGCTTTAGTCTAACTTCAAGCCTTAGTCATTCTAACACCTTCTTCTCCCCTCTCTGAATTCCTGTAATGTATTTTATCTGTATCCTGTCATCTAACATGCATATTACAAGACTGCCTTGAGCAAATAGGTAACTCTTGTTTTCTAAACATTACTCAAAGGCAAAAACATTGTTGTCCTTTCGTTTTATCTGTAGCACCTAGTACCAATCCATCCCTAGGGACCTATAACATATCTCCTTTGCCTCTAAGAGGCATATCTAGACTGACATTACCAGGTTGTTCTGTCCCTGGTATCAGTGAGTCAAGCTCTTCTGTGATCTGTCTGCCTCACATCTGTCTTGGGCCTCAGCTCCCAGAAGAACACCCAGTATATAGCACAGAGGTCTATATACTGTACACTGGTGACTTCCTCTGCAATGTCCCTCTCTATCTTCTCACTTTTCAGAAACATGCCTTATTCTCCATTCCCATCCCCACAGAAATGAAGACAAGTTAGTGTTGTCTTCTAGTTCACGTCTCTACCTCTAGAGCAAGAGACCAGCAAAGGGAACTGCCGTGCCACTCACAGCCAGCAGGGGGTAGAAACACACCAGCTGCATCAGTTCCTGAAACTGGTTAACCAGAGCTGGGAAGAGAAAGCCTACCTTAGCCAGCCTTTCACTGTAATCCGGACTTTCCTGCTTGCCCCGCAGGCTGGGGGGCACAAACCAGAAACACACGTTGACGAACTCAGGCTGGGAGGAATGAGGGAGGGAAGAGTGTGAGCTGAGGAAGGTGGACTGTTCCCCTCTCACCACTCCTCTTCCTCCATCAGGGAGGGCTTTTTGTGTAGGATAGATTGTGGTGGATGGGGCGGGGGGGAGGGGAAGGGTACAGGAACATGCAGAGAGTACAGGGTAGGTCATACCTCCATGACCAACACAAATCCTTCCCGCTTCTTTATTTCCTCCACCAGGTACCTTCAAACAGAGAGTGAGAAATCACAGGTGGAGGAAGAAAGGCAGACATATAAAAAGAAAAGAGACCCAGAGAATGAGCTAGAGAGAGGCACTGAGAGCAGGAAAGGGGTATGAGGAAGAGACCCAGAGGAGGGAAACTAGAACCACTCCTCACTCCTACCGGGCAAGGGCAAAGGCCTGGTCAACACGCCGCTCCAGCCCTTGCCCGCCCTGTGCCTTCCACATGAGCCACAACTTCAGACAGTCCACACGGCGGCCACACTGCACCACTTTGTCTCCTGTGTCCAGGGCCACGTCGTAGAACTTGTCTTGTTGGAAGAGGTAGCTGGCCTGGGATCCATGGCAGTGCTTGAGCAGGTTCTGTGGAGGAGTGGGGGACTGTCAGACCCCACTCTCCCCACGTAGGTTTCCTTTAGCACTATATTAGAGGATTTCTTCCTTTCCCTGCAACCAGGTGGCACTGATGGGATGACTGCCAACTAACTTGGACCTTTTTCTCTAGGTTTTCTCCCCACACTCAGAGTTCTTCCCAAACTCAACCCAGGATTCCTTTGATTACAACTTGGAGCTGGAAAGTTTTTCCTTTGCATGAAGACAAGCCACGGGGGAAGTGAGGGAGCCCACTACAGGGAGTTAGGGTGGTCACAGATTCAGCTACAAATGGGATGGTAAAGAGAACACAGTGAGGCCAAGTCTCCCTTGAAGGTGGGATAGAAAAGGATACAGAGGTCCAGGGTGAGAGATGGGGACAGGGCAGGGGCAGACCCACCGAGGTGTCCTGGAGAAGAAGAGCCGAGCACTGCAGGCCTGCTGTAAGGAGCTTGTGGGGATTCCAGGCCACGGAGTCAGCCCTTGAGTGGGTATAGCAAAGCTGGGTCAGCTGGCTCCTCCTCAAGTCACCCAACCAAGCCCCCCTCCCTTTCCAGTCCTCAGTAAAGGGGCTCCAGTTTCACCTCAGCCCAGCAGTCAGGAAGAATTGCCATGTCTACTGTCTGACCTCCCAGCCCCAAGCAACCATCTCTCCAATCCTCCTCTCACCAAACTCTCTCCCCTACTCCCATCTGAAGCTCCTTAGACTATGACCATTTTGTGGAACAAGAATTTGAAGGGTGGGATTCAGGGAGCAGGGTCCATATGCACCTCTGGATCCCATCCAGGAGATTTCTATGTGTCTGTGATAGCAAAACACTTCCACCCCAGGCGGCCTGTGGAGTAGAAAAAACAGCAAGGGTTTGGCTTCAGCTCAGCCTATTACACCCTCAGGCCCAAGTCCCACTCACGTCCACATGCATCCACAGTCCGTGACGCTGGCACACATCAGCAATTGCTTCCAGGGGGTCAAAGGCCCCTAGTACAGTAGTGCCAGAGGTGGCACAGACCAGGAATGGCACAGCACCCTATTGAAAAAATGCAGAGAGAGTAAAAGGCTGTGAAGTCATCTCAAAAGCAACCTAGAGCCTGGTGCTATAGCCTAGCTCTAAACTCTCTGCATGTCTAACCCGGGCTCTTTCAACCTTACAATGTGTTACTGTCTCTTTTAATTTGCAGATGAAAACACTGAGATTCAGAGGTATTAAGAAACCTGACCCTAAGCTGAAGCTCCAGAGATGGAACCTAAAGCTAGGTCTGTCTGCCGGTCTGTCTCCAAAGTTCATATCCTTTCAAAAAAAATTTTAATGTCTTACTGGAAGATCAAAATGATATTTTAAAAATTCTAATAGTACAAGTTTATAAAGAAATTAAATAGTATTCAAAAAATACCACAAAGAAAAGCCCAAGCACAGATGGCTTTACTGATTAATTCTACCAAACATTTAAAAAGAATTGGCACCAGTTCTTCACAAACTTCCAAAAAAGCAGAAGAGGAGGGAACACTTCTGAATTCATTCTATGAGGCAAATATTACCCTGATACCAAAACCAGACAAAACATTACAAGAAAACTAAAGACAATATATCTTATGAATATAGACATGAAAATCTAAAACACACTAGTAAGTCGAAATCAGTAACATGGTATATAAAAAGAATTATACACCATAACAAACTGGGATTTGTCCCAGGGGTGCAAGCTTGATTTAATATCCAAAAGTCAATTAACATAATACAACCTATCAATAGAAAATATTTAAAAAACACACATTTCAATGTGGTCTATTGAGCATCTCAACGGACAAAGAAAAACATCTGACAAAAATCCAACACTCCTTCATGATAAAAACATTTAACAAATTAGGAATTGAAGGGAACTTTCTCAACCTGATATAGGGCAACTAAAAACCATGGCTAGCATCACACTCAAAGGTAAAAGACTAAAAGCCTTCCCCCTAAGATCAGAAACAAGACAAAAGATGCCCACTCTCCCCACTTCTATTCAACATTGTATTGAGGTACAGGGCAATTAGGTAAGAAAATAAAATAAGAGGCATCAAGATTGAAAAGGAAAAAAAAAAGATTTCTATTTCTAGATAACATGAAATTGCATAGAAAATCCTAAGGAAACCATTAAAAAAAAACAAACTATTAGAATTAATAAATGAGTTTAGCAAGTTTGCAGAGTACAAGACCAATATTAAAAAATCAATTGTATTTCTAAACATTAGCAATGAACAATCCAAAAATGGAATTAAGAAAAAAACTGCATTTACAAGACCATCAAAAAGGATAAAATACTTAGGAATAAATTTAACAAGAAAGTACAAAACATATACTCTGAAAATTACAAAGCATCATTGAAAAAAAAATCAAAGAAGACCTAAATAAATGGAAAGATGGTCCATGTTCATGGATCTACAGATTGGACACAATCCCTATAAAAATCCCAGCCGGCTTCTTTGCAGAAATTGACAAGCTGATCTTAAAATTCATGTAGAAGTTTAAGGGACCCAGAGCAACCAAAACTATGTGAAAAACGAACAAAGTTGGAAGACTTATACTTCCTGATTTCAAAACTTACTACAAAGCTACATTATTCAAGACAATGTGGTCTACACTATCAACATGCAGATCAATGGAATAGAATTGAGAATCCAGAATTATACCATCATAATTACAGTCAACTGATTTCAACAAATATGCCACAACAATTCATTGGAGGAAAGAATAGTCTCTTCATAAATAGTGCTGTGACAACTGAGTATCCACATGTAAAAAAAAAAAAAAAAAGAAGTTGAATCCCTTTCTCACATACCCAAAAATGAACTCATAATGGATCATAGAACTGAATGTAAGACCTAAAACTATAAAACTCTGAGATGAAAATATAGGAGTAAATCTTCATGAGCTTGAGTTAAGCAAAGCCTTCCTACATGTAACACTGAAAGCACGACTAACCCAAGAAAAAATAAGCAAGTTGAACTTCATCAAAATTTAAAACTTCTGTACTTCAAAGGACACCATCAAGAACATGAAAAGACAACTTAGAGAATGGAAGAAGATATCTGCAATCATATATCTGATAAGGGACTTATATCTAGAATAGAAGAAAATAAGCACATGACAGGATGCTCTACATCAGCAGTCATCAGGGAAATGCAAATCTAAACCACAGCAAGATACCACTTCACACCCACTAGGGTGGCTATAATAAAAAAGAGAAATAACAGGTGTTAGTGAGGATGTGGAGAAACTGGATCCCTCATACTGCTGGTGGGATTGTAAACTGGTGCAATCACTTTGAAATACAGTCAGGCAGTTCCTCAAAGGTTAAATAAGAGTTACTATATGACTCAGCAATTCCACTACCAGGTATATAATCAAGAGAAATGAAAAACATATGTTCACATAAAAACTTGTACAAAAATGTTCAGAGCAGCATTATTCATAATAGTCCCAAACTGGAAACAACCCAAATGCCCATCAACTGAGAAAGTGATAAATAAAATGGGGTACAGCCATACAATTAATATTATTCAGCAATAAGAAAGAATGAAGAACTGGTACATAATACAACATGGTGAATCTTGAAGACATTATGCTAACTAAAAGAAGTTCATCACAAAAGACCATGTATGGTATGATTCTATTTCTACAAAAAATCCAAAACAGGCAAATCCATAGAAATACCAAGTACATTTGTGGTTGCCTAATGGGAAGTATGGGAGTACTGGGAATTGATGGCTAGAGGGTATGGGGTTTCTTTTTGGGGTGATGAAAATATTCTAATGTTTATTGTAGTGACGGTTGAGCAACTCCATAAATGTGTTAAAAACCATTGGATTGTATACTATAAATAGGTGAATTGTATGACATGTGAATGGAATTATATGTCTATAATGCTACTACCCAAAAAAGTTTATACAATAAAAGTGATACTAAGTGTTCTAATTGCTGCTCATACTGCTACTCAAAGGTAACATCCATAAGTCAATAAATATACAATGTTCTAAATAACAATAGGCTCAGAGTGTCCTTTCTATACTGCAACTTGCTATATGTACTTTATATATATACACCGATACATATATATATACACACTTAAATATATAGTGGAGGTATTTTCATGTGTGTATATATTCCCACCTTATTCTTTTAGATGGCTACAGAGTACTCCAATAATAACAACAACAATAATGGCAGCTAATATTTACATATGCTTCAATGCTCTAAGTGCTTTACATATATCAATTCATATAATCCTACAACAATCCTATGTGATAAATTCTATATTATGCTCATTTCTGAAAGGAGGAAAGCAAGACACACAGATATACCATAATTTATATACAGACATTTAAAAAAATATTTTTTAATTTTACACTTTGCCCAGTACACAGAATTCTACATACTATGATGATCGTTTATAGGATAAATTCTAACAGTGGGACTTTGAATCAATGGAGAGATACATTTAAAATTTATATAGATAGTGCCAAAAGACCCCTCAACACCCTCCCTGTGGTGCTGTCTTGGGACTTCACTCAGTGACTCAGTCATGCTCCTGCCTCTTGGAGTCTGATCCAGCCTGCAAGTCTTGGAAGAGTCCCTGAGAAGACCACAGAGTATCCTCCCCGCTCAGGCTCCCTATGGAGCACTTCAGCCCACAGGGGAGATGTGCACAGAGATCAAGAAAAAGGATGAGGAATGCCTTGAGTAGGGAGAGCCTAAAGAGAAAGAGGGATCCTGCTCCATGAGCCAGTGCTCCTGACACACTCACCTCAGCCTCAGCCAGACTGATCTGTCTCTCCAGGTCCTCAGGGATCATTTTCCCTCTGGAAAAGAAAACTGAGTGGGTAGGGAAGTAACAGGTTCTCTAGGCTGGGAGGTAGAAGTGTTGAGAACAGGGTAATGTGGGGTTAGCCATGCAGAGGCCACAAGGTTGATACTTCCCTAAGAAGGGTAAATAGATCTCAAGGAATGGGGCAGGAGACTTTAGCAGGCACTGAGAGACAGAAGTGGCAATTTGCAGGAAAAGAGAGGGGAGAGAAGTCCACCAGGGGTATGGGCCTGTGGCCAGAGCTCCTGACAGCAGGAAGGTACACTGTACCAAGCCGGGTCAGGGCCACGTGGACAAGACCTTCACCTCTCATCTGCCTTGACCACTCGGACACTGTCAGTGCCAAGTCCCAGAAAAGCAGCTCCCTTCTTGATGGAGTAGTGACACTGTGGAGGAAGGCAGAGGGCACATTAAGCTAGGGGAGAGAGGGCAGGGAGGATGGGAAGGAGAGAGACTAGTAAAAGTCAAACGTGAGCTGCAAAAGATAAGACCCTGCAGGCCAGGGCTTCTCAAGCATTCTTGTGTCTTCGAATCATCAGGGTGTCTGTTAAAATGCAGATTCAGTAGGTCTGGGGCTTGAGATTGTGCATTTCTAACAAATGTCCAGGTGATACTGATGCTACTAGTCCATGGACCACTCTCTGAGTTAGAAAGGGTGTGGACTGTGTCCATTGTACTTGTTTTTCCTCCCCCACCCCAGACAGACGGCAAGGTGAATGGGAGCCCCCCTTGACTAGAAGGAAGCACATCTGCTTGCGGGCAGGCTGGCCTTGGAGAAGATGGGTCTGGGCAGGCAGAGGACCTCAATGATCTCAGATTCAGCTGACTAGAGATTAAAATCAGGAGCCCAGGGTAGGCCTGTGCTGCTTCCGCACCTCCTTTGATGTGAAGAGGGCCAGGGGTGGCAGTGCCCGGAGGCCCCTCCTCTTACAATCTGGGTAGCGGTGATAGCGGGCCAGGTTTACAGCGTACATGTTGGAAATGGAGCCACCTGTCACAGAGAGGGGATGGTGGCAGGAGGGAGAGACAGTGGGTCAAAACTGAAGCTTGCCTCCCCTGACGTCGCTGCCCCAGAAGAACTGATCAAAACACAAGTGATTGGCTCCCAGGCCACAAATTCCCAGGGCTCTACGAATGGCATGATAATAGCCCAGAACAGCCCAGGGATCCACACAGGGATCCCCTGACTATCCGCCTCCATATCCTGGGCTGCCCCTAGGACAGCCCCCACCTGGAGAGAGCAAGCACTGCAGCACTGATCCCATGGACTGTTTGGCAAACAAGAAGATACAAGGTATTATTGGGCAGTCTCTCTGGTTTGGCCCCAGCCCAGCTGGAGAAGAAACAAAGAGGAATTCCCCCTCCCTGCCAGCTTAGAGCAAGAGAATGGTGGGGAAGGAGAACATTTAAAAACATCAAAGGCCTCCCTCCTTCTCACGTACCAGGACAGAAGACCCCATCCCCAGAGCTCCAGCCCACCAGCTCCCGCAGTTTCTTCAGTACCTCTTCTTCCATGAGTACAAACACAGGGGCAATTTCATATGTGTACCTGCCAGGAGAGGGAACAATGATTTTTTTAGGCGGGGGAGTCCCTCCAGGTGAGATTTTCAAGACTAGTGGGAGAGAGGAGGTGGTGAGAATGAATGAGGGAGGGGTCCAAAGAGAGGAAGGAGTTGGTGACAAAGAACCAGAGAAGCAAGAATGAAAACAAACTGGGGTCAGGAGCAGGAGAAAGCTTGGAGAAAGGGAGCCCAAAGAGCAAGAGAGGAGACTGTGCCAGCAGAGATTCTCAGAAACCAGAGAAGAAGGCAAAAAACCATTCTCTTCCCCTCCCCCTAGGGCACATTTCCAGAAAACCCATATCCTTTGTGGGGTGGTGGGAGGGGCTCTTGGCATGGCTCACTGGCTGGTGTTGAGGCTCTCGGTGACAATGCGCCCAGCCAGAGCATGGGGATCCAAACCTGAGAAGAGCTGGTTGAAGAAGTGAGGGTGACCTGGAGAAGGGGGCAGGGAGCTCAGAGTGGAGCTGGGTACAAACTCCAGACACTCTTCCCACCAGAACCCAGGGCTCACAGGTCTTCACGCTATAGCGGATCACAGCCCGGCACCGCTCCAGGATCTTCTCCTGTGACTCCCCCTGGCTCCGCAGCTCCAAATCTAGCAGCTGTTTCAGCTCCTTTGGCTCCTTCCACTCACAGACCTAGGAGGAGAAGCAGGAGATTCTGGTGGCCCTTACATATTCCATTGTCTGGCAATCCAAACCACATCTCAATACACACAACACCATCAACCTGCACTTAAAGCAACAAGGTAGAAATGTTTTCAAAGTGACACATGAATAAGGTAAATAAACAGTAAGACCCAGTAAATAATCCCTGAGGCTCACAGTGAGACAGTGATGAATTCTGGGAAGTAGCCTTGTTGGAGGAGGAAAGTCCTGAGCCAGGTTTGATGAGCAGGAAAAGGAGGGAGAAAGGACCCACCTTCTCAGAGGCACTGGTCCCTTTCCGAATGACCTCATCCACAACAATCCCAAATACATCCCGGAGCAAGGCTTCTGCAGCCACAGGGTCCCCATCAAGGGAGAAGAGTGGTTTAGAGTCAGCCATCAGGATAAAATCTGTGAGCAGAGCAGGAGTTATTCCCTATTCATCCTGTGTACCTGACCTGGATCTAACCAACAAGAACCCAACCCCGGGCCTCAGGCCTGACTCAGTCCTGCAGCTCAGTTCCAGCCTTCACTGTTACAGACGAGGGCAAGTGAGTGTCCAGGGAGAAAACCCTTAGAAAGAGGGGGGAAAGAAAATGGCAGTTAGCACTGAGTAGGTGGAATCTAGTGGCCACTGCCCACCTAAGGCAATGACAAGAGGCTTACCTTTACACTCAGGTCTCCGTTCAGGTGAGCTGGAGGCAGAGTACACAATCAGTTTTTCAGAATGTTAGGACCAGGGCAGCAGAGGGAGTGAGGTATGGGCAGCAGTCACATGACCATGACATCACTCTCGTGACCCTTGCCCTAAGGAAAACTACACAGATTTGAGATAGGGACAACAGGTTGAGATAAGTCCCCTGAATAATCATTAGCTGACATGAAGAAGGAGAAAAATGAGATGAGAGACAAAAACACACACTATATTAATTTCAGGGTTAAGAGGAGCAGAGAGCCAGCAGGAAGAGGGCCTTTCTACTGTGAATCAGAGGGTCCAGAGTGGAACGCATGGGAGTTATTTGGCAGGGAGACAAGTGTGGGTGTGGAGGGGGAGCCATGTGGGGGGCAAGAGGCTGGAGAGGGGGACAGGTGCAGGAAACTGCTAGAGGTGACCCTGAAGATTGCAGGGGGTGGAATGGGGGGAGGGCCTGAGAGAGATAGGTGGAGGTGAAATGGTTTAGGCAGGCCTCAGAGGCCAATCTCTGCATCTCAACCCTTAGAATCCTTTCAGAACTATCTTGATTTTCTAAAGCCCTCTCCCAGAGTAGAAATGAAAGGAGGTTACATTGAGGAAGCATTATGTTAAGAACTGTAACCTTGTGCCTTGCAGGCTGAGTGCTCAATAAACAGGGGGTGGCTGTTTGAAGTGTGCACCAGCTTTATTCAGGACAGGCTGCTGGGAATTGAGAAAGCCTTCCTGTCCCACTGGGAGCACACAGATGCATATGTAACAGTTACAGCCCAGGGCATAGCTGGATGCTAACTACAAGCACTATTCAGGGAAAGAAGAGATCCATGAAAGTTGAAGACTGGAGAAGATCTGTAGTGGGACTGGAGTCGAATCTTGAAAATGGGCAGGAGAAATGAGACTGGTGAAAGGGAGGATGAGAGGAACGTAGGAGCAGTAGAGGACAAATGCCATGAGCTTACACTGGGAATGAGTATGGCTTATTCTAAGGTCAGTGAAGGCACCCAGCTGGCTGAAGGGAGGGTCTGTAAGGGTGATACAGGAGACCAGCTGCACAAGATTATGGGGATCCTGGAATACCACGCAGGCCAAGGAATCTAAATTTATCCTGCAGAAAATGGGAAGTCGCTGAAAGACTCTGTGGCAAGAAATAATATGATGAAATTGATGTTCTCAGAAGACCAGTGCATAGTGGCAGGATGCAGAAGAATTAATAGGCTGTTGCTATAAACCAGGCAAGAGGTGATTCATACTTGAGTAGCAGGAAAAGACAGAGGAATATGAAGGTTTGGCCACTCGCCAATTACACTGAATTCAACACTTAGGAAATCTACATTGGAGGAGAAAGGAGAGTCAAAGAGGACCAAGCCTGGGTGACTGGAAAAGTAATGGTGCCCCCTGAAAGAAATTAGGATGCAGAAAGGGGAAGCTGGATAGAAAGTAAAACGGTTAATTCTTGGAAATACTCATCCAACTAGAGGTATCCCGGGACTACAGATACTCAAATGGGAGGAGGTAAGGCCCAGAACTCTGATGAGATCCTAGAACAGAAAGCAGATTTGAGAGTCAGGGTGCAGCGGAAGCCTTGTGACAAGTTCACAGAGATGGCCAGGGAGAGAGGGGTAAACACCAAGGCCTGGAGAACCCTCCGAATGAGGGGGAAAGAAAATGTGGAAAAGGAGGAATCTTCCTCAAAGTGGGCTACCCTGATGTAATCCACTGTCAATAGCCACTGGACTACACACTAGTTGAAAACACAGGTCCAAGGGACCCTGGTGGACCTACCTTGAAACTTTTCCTCAGTAGTTTGGGTTTGGAGAAAATAAGAGAGAATTGGCCCAGGCCTTGAAAATGAAGGAGTCAATCCTTCATCAGTGCTCACTCTAGCTCACCTGATGGGTGGCAGCAGTGCAGTGTTTAGGTCAAGAGGCATAAGGGAGAGAGGCTAATAAAAATAGGTACCATTGAAGTACTTGCTCAACACTCTGAACTTAATATGTATTATTCTAATCTTCACAACCATTTCAAGTAAGTTTATTACCCACGTTTGAAGATGAGGAAATTGAGATTTCAGAGACACTATGTATGTAACTTGTCCAGATCACGTAGCCAATATGTGGCTGAGCTGGGTTTGATTGAACTCAGGCATGTCAGAATCTGAAGCCCCTGCTTCTAGCAGTAGAAGTGAAAAACAGGTTGCAAGGGGTTTGCAAGGAGGGAATGACTGGTGAAGAAAGAGAGACCCTTGGCTGGAAGGAGCTCTTTCCCAAAGTTCCAAAGAGAGGGTCTGTAGAGAAGACCATGACTCTGTCCACCTGGCACCTTCTTTATCCATTTCAAGTCAGTCACCTCTCAGAAATGAAATTTGAAGGTGAGGGCTCTGAATACCTCAAGTTTCCTCCTGGGGTAAAAAGGGAGGTGAGGCATCACTACCTTTATTCTCCACATAGAATCCTGTCCTGGGTACCTGAGAGAGGGAAGAGCCCCTGCCTACAGAGTTTTTCTTTTTAAAAGCAAGAAGGACATTAACCTCCAAGATAGAATACTAAAGCAAAGAAACATGAATAGAATTAGAAACAGAGCTTTAGCCTCTGGCTGAGAAGATGCTGGTAGGACCAAGTAGCATTTGTTCAAAACTTCACAAGTTTTCTTCAGTCTTCATGGGATCTCTAGCCCATAAACTCCTCACCATCAGCTCCCTCATACCTTTCTTTCCTTATACAACCTAGATTGTATGGTCCATCATTTCAGCCATTCTTTGTCCAAAATCCTCAACTCTCCAGCCCTGCGGTGCTTCCACCAAATCCCCCTGCAAAACCCCAATCCAATTGGCCAGTCCCTCTCTTACCAAATCACCAGGACTGCTGCATTCTGCTAATGAAAACCACCTAACCATTTAAATTGGTATCGATATAAATTCATGGTGTCTGTGCTCATTACAATTAAACACAGCAGACTAAACACATATGTTCACCACTACTCCTTCTTGAACATCCACTAAAATTACATCAGCGGAATTTTAACTCCAGAAGAATAAAGCAAATGAGAAGAGAGACAAGAGGCAAGAGATGTCAATAATGGTAGAAGATGGAAAGCAGATGAAAAGTAGTAACTGGTTTAACAAATGGCAGAAAGTCAAAACCAGTATGTCTGCAGAGGGCTATGCCAACAGGAAACAAGCTGGTTCCTGGGGCACAGGCCCAGAAAGCCTCTGGAATTGAAAACACTCGCTATCCTGGAAGGCAAGACGGAGGGGCACAGCTAAAAATATGAAAATTAGATGAAAACCTGTATAAGGAACATTTAGACCCCCACTCTACTCTCCCTGCCCATTCGGCCCAGCAACTTCCCTCCTCTTACTTCCAAAGCAGCAGGAGGTTTGTTTTCTAGAGAAACTGAAACAGGGAGACCTGGATTTAGGGATATCAGGCACAGCAGGAGGTTAGAATGAGGCACTGTACTGAAGACTGGAGGATGAGTAGGACTTACATATTGAATGGACTCCTTTCTCCCAGTCAGCATTCAGAAACAGTAGCCAGGGGTAAACCCTCCAAGGCCAGAAGGCTGGAGGATTCCTCTCTTAGAAAAACTGACCTCAATAAGCCCCAGAGAAAAGACCTACTGAAGTTCTTATTTCAGTCCTTGTCCAATCACCTAGTCAGTGATGCAAGTCAATACAGCCTATCCATGCACATGGGCTCTCCTATATGCTTTAGTGCCTCACTCTTAAATGTGAGCAAATGGCCAGCCAAATCCTACCACACACTTGAGGAAAGCCCCTAACATGAATCACAGAGGTAAAAACAAACTGAAATAAAGGCATTTGGTGGAAGAAGAGAAGTACAGGGAGTAGAAGAATGACTCAAAAATTCAAGATATTGCATCCATAAAAAGAAAACAAGTTGCTCTCAAAAAGGAACACTCAGAGAAGAGCTCTAGAATTTTAAGAATATGACAATTGAAATAAAAAAAAATTAGAAATAAAATGAAGCCAAGAAAAGATAAAGCACAGAAAGATAAAAATATAAAGAGATGGACAATAAAAAAGAATTTTAGAAGGTCAATCTAAAAGGCCCAATAGTCAATTAATAGAAGTTTCAGAAAGAGAAGGAAAAAAACAGAAGAAAGAAATCAAATCAAAGAAAGCTTCATAGAAGAGAAGAACAGAGTAAAAGAATCCACTGAATGACAACCGTAAAGACAGATTATAATATTGTCTCAGAACAATGGAGGATCCAAACACTTCTGGAGATAAAACAAAACAAATAAACCAAAACCAGGTCATAGACAAAGGACAGAGAATCAGACCACATCAAACTTCTCCAATACAGGATAGAGGTGAAGAGAATTCCCAGGACTGTTATGAAGGTACTAACCATCTTCAGAGGAAAAAAGCAACAGTGACTCTGCTTAACTGGACACTCAATACTTACTGCCTGGCAACATTACTATGTTCCTATTGTCAGCTCTATCTTTAATTCTCTGTGGCAACTATTTCAAAAATTTCCCACATCTCTGAAATTATTGACCTATCATCCTTCTCCTTATTTCTCTCTCTCATTTCAAATTTCTTAGAGATAATAAATAAAAGTCATCAAAACTTACTCAACTTTTTGTTAACTACACACTCTGGATTCTTCCTTCTCCCTCCCCACTTCCCATCTTCTCCCCTTCCTTCCCTCCCTCCCTCTCCTTCCTCCCTCCCTCCCTTCCTTTCTTCTTTCTTTCCTTCCTTCCTTCCTTCCTTCGCTATTCAGTATCTAGTATGTGCCAAGCACTTTGGTTGCTATTAGAGGTACAATGGAGAGCAAAAGATCACAGTCCTGCCCTCATGAAGTTCACGGTCTAAAAGCACAGGTCACAAACTGGAAGATAGTGAGCCAACTGTTACCTACAGACAAGGTTTTGTCTGGCTTACACAGTACATTAAAAACTTTTTTTAAATAACTGTCAATCTGAAACTTCCAGCTTCTCATGAAAAAAGTCAGAAGACCTAGCAACACTGGGCCTGATTTAATAAATTGCAACAATAGCCTGTAGTTGGAGTTGCCCCTTTATTATTAATATAGTTTTGTGTTCATTACGTTTTCTTTTCAACTTTTTTATTTTTGATTAAGCAATATACTCAGGTAGTTCAAAAATCAAAATGTATAAAAATATGAGTAGTGAAAAGTCTACTTCCCACCCCATTCCATATGCCCCATTCCCATTCCCACCCCCATAGGTAACCATTTTTATTAGTTTCTTGGGTAACCTTTCAGAGCTTTTAATGCAAATACTAACAAATACAAATACAAATTCTTATTTTCTCCTTTTTCACACAAAAGGGAGAATGGAAACTTTACAGTAAAGAAAGCTGGTGGATACCATCTTACCGAAGCGATCATAGCTAACATCACCAATAATGGGACAGAATGACATGATGGGCCTCCTGACCTGAGGTATTGAGAAGCATTCAACATCATTTATGTAATATTTCTGCCAAAAAATGCATAACCTGAATTTAACTACGAGGAAACATATATCTAAATTGAGGGTCATTCTACAAAACAACTAGCCTGTATTCCTCAAAAATGTCAATGTCATGAAAACCAGAGAAAGACTGAGGAACTGTTCCAGACTGAAGAAAACTAGAGACACTACAACCGAAAGGAATGAGTAATCTTAGATCGGCTCTTGGATAAGGAAGAAAAAAATCTGCTATGAACAACATTATTGGAACAACTGGTGGAATCTAACTATGAATGGCATCATAAATATTAGTATTCTATCAGTGTGAATTCCCTAAATTTTATTATTGCATTGTGGTTATATAAGAAAACAGTCTTATTCTTAGAAAACATATGTTGAAACATATAGCAGTAAAGGAGCATAAATACTGCAACTTTCAGCAGAAAAAGACAACACTGTGTGCATGTATCTACAACTATGTCTAGAAAAATAACATCTTTATTGAGAAATGAGTCATAAAGTTTACTCTTTTAAAGTATACAATTCAGTGGGTTTTTTTTTAGAATATTCACAAAGTTGTACATCAATCCCACTATTTAATTCCAGAACATTTGCATTACCCCTCCCCCAAAACCCTATATCTATTAGCAGTTTCTCCTCATGCATTTCTTAAGAGACTGAAGATGAAAAAAATCTTCAAAATATTAACTGTGGCTATTTCTGGGTATTAGAATTATAATTTTATGTTTCTTATTTACACAATTCTATATTTTTATAGTTTCATATAATTTCATATTACTTATGTAATTAAAATAAAAGTTATTTTTAAGCAACAAAGAAAGTAAAGAAGGAATTAAGGGGCTATAAGAATTCCAAAATATACGAATCACCAAGCTCAAAAGACGATCCTGGTACATCATGTGGTTTCCCAACTCAATACACTATCATCAAAAAGGTCTAACGGTAACGAAGGTAGCCATATATTGGTCATTTCTATTACGCAGCCCCAGCTGACCTCAGAGAGAGGGATGGGTTCAGCTAGTTCAACAAACATTAGCTGAGTATCTACTTCTGTTGCTTGGCACTACCCTAGCCAGGCACTATGTCTACGCTGTGCGCTCCAGCTAACAGGCTAAAAGGAAGTCGGGCATGTAAAATAAAGGCATGCTCAACACAATAGAGTGTAAACTCATGAAGAAAAGGCAGGACTGGTGAACAGTGCTCAATTGACCCAGTGCAGCTTTCAAAGATAAAACAATCAGGTTCTACTTAAGGCTATAGAGAAATGTTGCAGGAAAAACCTAATTGGTAATCATTACAATACTATCTGAATAAGTGATGGGGCGGGGCGGTGGGGGGGGGAGGCTTGAGGGGAGAGGGTGCCAAGGAAGTGAGGAAAGGTCACATAGGAGGAGGCCTGCCTGTGGGCAATCGATTAGGGCAGTTGCTTATTAAAGCACTTTCTGCCAAGTTTATTGTTAGAGAGTGAAAACACTGCTTCTGTGCTATCTACCTATTAACAAAACCCACTGACTCAATACCAACATTAAAAGAAGTACCAATTCTCCCTATGTACACAGCATTTTCTCCCCTTCTAGACTGTAAACCCTTGGGGGTGCGGGGAGAACTAAGTCTTTGTTAAGTAAAGCACCAAATACAAAATAGGCACTCAAAAAAAATGTTAGTTTTCATTTTCTCACTCTCCACTCCCTTCTTCCAACGTCTTACACAAAGGTTCTCAATAAACATTTGGTGATTCAACCAACTATTTACAAGTGCAGAAAAATAATGCTGTGTTCCACTTACATTTGATTTGCATAAACCAAAAATCTATATTAATGATAACTTGCAAAGGGTTTTTTTCCTTCTCAAAGCCTTCTCATCTATGATCTCATTTATTTCTCACAGTAGTGCTAGAAATTAGCCTGAAAAGCAATCTTTTTATCCATCCTCACTTTCAAGATGAGGACTCTTGTGCCAGAGAGAATGAATTAATTTATCTAAGATTACAAAGGTGACATGGGAGCAAGCCTAGATCACTGATTTCTGACTTCTAGGCTAGTATCTCTGCCACTACATTAATGGTCCCTTTTAAATATAGCTTTTCTCACTAACTCTCATCATATGCAAAAATAAACTGCAGCTAAGACAAAGACATAACTAAATATATGCAACTATAAGAACATCAGAAGGAAATACAGGGAAATATTTTTATAATCTTGAGGTAACATATCACAAAAACCCGAAAGCCACAGGCAAATTTGACTATGTAAAACTTTTAAAATTTTGTGTAAAGAAAGACACCATTAAAGCGGTTAAAGATGTCATGGCTTTATTTTTCCCCACTCGTTATTTTACCCACTGTTTTCAAAATGGTTTTTCTTCTCCTCGCAATTATTCCTTTCCATCTAAATTTTAAAATCAGCTTAAGTTCCATGCAAAGTCTTGTTTTAATTTAGAATTTAACTTAATATATAGCAAAAATTTATGTCTCTACAATGTTGTCTTCCTATTTATGGACATGGTAAAACTCTCCATTTAACCAACCCTTTTTCTTTCACTAAAATCGTCTGATTTTCTTAATACTATGACTTGCAGTTTCCTGTTCATTTTATTTCTAGAAATGTAATATTTTTTATTGTGCATGAGATATTCTATGATATTTTTATGATTATGTTGTTATATTTTATTATAAAATTTTTGTTTATCTTATATTTTGTTCATCTGGCCATGCTCCTGAACTCATTAGTTTTGTTTTGTCAATCGATTCTCTTTGTAAATGAATATATATCATATGAAAATAATGAAACTTTTGGGTGGCCAGGAGCTGTAGTAGAATATTAGGTTTGATCGTAAATATTCTTGTCTCATTCCTATCTTTGATAGAAATGTTTCAAATATTTTCCCTTAAAATGTAACTTTTGCTCTGGAAAAAAAAGTTGAAAGAGAAATGAAAATCCAAGAAAAAACTTTAAATGCATATGAAAAATAAAAAAGTCAACATAGAATAGAGATTTCTACCAGTCAATAATAGACAAATGATCTTTTTTCCTTAATGAGTAAAAGACATGAAAAGGCAGTTTACAAAAACAATTAAAATGGTCAAAAAACAAGAGATGCTCAACTTCCCTATTAATGACATGCGTAATAAAACAATGAAATTACTATTTTTCACCTATCGAATTGGCAATTGTATAAAAAATTTATGGCATCCAGTATTGCCAACGTTGTAGGAAATGGGAATTCACACATGGTTCTGAGAAAGCATGGAAATGGTTACAAACTTTTGAAATTCAATTTCACAGAATCAATTAAAATTTAAAGTCCACAAATCCTATCTACACTCTAATTTAAAAGGATAATTATATAAGGATGTTCATTATGGCACTGTTTATTTTTAAAAAATGGAACCTAAATGTTCCTCAGGATAGGTCTCGATAAATTGAAGTACAATATAAACTGGAGTACTAAGCAACAATTTTTAAAACGTAAACTAACTTAGATGTCTAAGATACATTGTGTGGCTCAGTGTAGGTGCTTTATATGTTCTGACTGAAAAAAAAAATTTGTGTATGAACACAGAAAAAGCCTAGAGGTATATATACCAAACTGATAAAAATGACTACCTTCAGGATTATGGGATAGTACAGAAGGAAACTAAACATTTTTGCCTTTTATTCTTTTGTGTTGTGTGGATTTGTTAAAATAAGTGAGCTAATTTTTTAAAAATTAAAGACATTTCTGTGATGCTTCTCTTATCTCAACTTTATGATGATCCTAAAAGCACAAGGACTTGCTCTCAGTGGCTCAAACATGGAACGCTCAGGGAAATCTGCATGTAAAAAGTGGCTGGAAATTCTTGTCTTCTTTCATAAATAAAGATTTTTTTCTCTTTTTTGGTATCTCCATTAATTATCCTAAATTCACAATCTGACAGCACTTACTGCAGAAGCTGGGACCTTAATGGAATGGACATTTCCTTCCATCAAGTGCACTTTGCAAGTCCATCTTTCGCAGGAACACTTCCTTAGAGCTAAAGTTGGGAGTAGAATTTGAAGAAAGGCTCAAGTTTCCATTTTCCTAATGCAGCCTACCCAGGGACAATCCTGTATGGCCAAGTCTCCAAAGAGACTAGTCTCCCACAGAATGGGAGTCCTATGGCTTTTTCCACAGAGGCCAAGGTCAGGCACTTATCGAGTTTGGCATAAAGGGGAAAGTGGTAAAGGTTACCAGACTGGCCTCAGGGTGCGCGGACCACCGCTGGGGCACCCATTTTCAGATTATGGTTGGGTGTACACAGCAAGAGTGTGCAAAGACAGTTAACTCTTCTCCTAACTGACTGGGTGGCCCCAGAAACTGCAGATCTAGACCTGATGGAAAGCTCAGGTAAAGACAACCTCGGCCGAGTTACGTGATAAGGCTGGGTACGAACTGTCCTGGCTCTATTTGGGGCTTCAGGGTCAGAAGCGACAGGAAGAACGTCTGCGAGTTAGTGAGAGTGACGTGACGGCACTCTTTCGAGGAGTCTTAACCAGCTCACACAGCAAAACCTCAATGCGCACCCAGCAAAGAATCATCTCAGGGCCTTCGTTCGTGCCCTCAGTGAAGATGGCCGTCAGGGCTCGTCCACACCACAGCGCACGCGCCATACTACTGGTCCTCCCTCTTCCCGTCCTTCCGCGCGACGACACCGCCCACCTCACTACCTGCACCCCGCTTCTGGCGTCCTCAGCCTCACCCCGTTTCTGGCTGCCCCCGCCCGTCCAGGCTCCAGAGCCCGGAAGTAGATATAGCTACTTGGCGAGAGGACGAGGGGAGGGGGAAGTGCTTCCGGGGAAGTGGGCCCGGGGTTGGTGTTTGTAAACTTGCCTCGGTCCCGGCGGGGGCAGCGGCAGCCACGGGGTTGGCACAGTGTGCAGGGGCTTGGAGGAGGCGTCGCGCGGCGGGGGAGACAGCTGGAGGCCGCGCCTGGCAGGTAAGCGCACGCCCCAGGGAGCGCAGCGTCGTCCAAGCAGACGGCAGCGCTTCAGCAGCTCGCAGGCCGTGGGGCGCCGCGCGGGAAGGGGGAGGGGAAGGGAGGAGGGGCGCGTAGTGAAAGGAGGGGGCTTGCCGGGGAGGGGAAGGGGCCGCGCGCGCGCGCACCGTTCTCCGTCCGCGCGCCCTGCACGTCACGGGCCCGGGAGAAGGGGACTTGCTTGAAGGGGACGCGGGCGCGAGCACGCACCTTGCGCGCTTCTCGGCGTTCTTTGGCTTTACCCTCCGGGTTCGTGCGGCGGGCTCAGCTGCTGACTGGCTGGCTGGCTGGCTGACTGGCTGGCTGGCTGGCTGGCGGGCGGGAGGGAAGAAGGGAGGGAGGGAACGCGCAGCGCCGGGCTTCGCTTGCCTGCCTTCCACCTCCGCAGAGAGTTTCCGTCCCTTCAGGCAGACTCCGAGAACGTGCACGTGTAGCCCGGCCCAGTGCACACCGCCAGTACGGTTTCTGCCTGCTATCCAAGCCCCTGAGCTTTTCTCCTCCCTAGTTCTGACCACCTTAAAACATAAAAGCCCCGAAGGGCCTCCGCTCTTTTCTTCCATTCCTAAAATAGCAAATTCAAGCAGTTGGCCTGTTGCAGGTCCTCCGTAAGAGACCCCAGATATTTTTGCTCCTATTGACTTCCCTCTTCCTTGCCTGAGAGACCAGTTTCTTCTCTTGACCTAGAAAGATAACTTCTTGACTAATGTCCTCTTTCCGAGCTTCACAGAGAGCTCTGAAAAAAAAAAAAAAAGTTCAGCTCACTGCCGGTTGTAGGTCTGAGAATGTTGCACCTAACAGTCCCATCTCCTTTTCTGGTTTCAGGTTTCTGGAACAGATCGTGAACTTCATCAAGAGAATTCAGTTGGAAAACCAAGACTTGCAGACTTTTTCTTCAGACAATAGGCAGGAACCAGACAGAGTCCAGGGATTCTTGAAACATCTAACTTCCCTTTGGAGGACACTAAGTTTTATTTGAAGACAAAGGCAGTTCAATATGGCAGCAGGACTGAACGAATGTGAAGAAGTTGTTACAGTGATTTGGTGACAGTTCTTCAAACAACAGTGTTTAAGGAAAAGTGGATCAAGAAACTCCTGAACTTTCGGGTTGCATTAAATGAGAAATCAGCATGGCTCAGGTAAAAAGCTCTAGAGTCCTCCTCCTTCAAGATCACTGGGAAACGTGTTTACAGTTTCCCTCTTGAATGCTGCCTTAGTCAACATATTGACCAACAGTGAGCCAAGCTCTGTATTAAGCACCAGGGGGAGATCTAGAGGAAGGAAAGGAGACAGGCCACAGCCCCTGCCTTCAGGGAGCTTCCAGTCAAATGAAGGAGGTAGGCTATACTGCATCACAGGCACTGATGGGACATTTGCAAAGCAACAGGCATTCAGTTTACACTTGGTACATTAAGTGCTGAGTGGCATGAATGAGTGAACAGTCTTGTGAATGCTTCATCTGTTTTTTTTCCCAACAGGAATTTATTGAGCTCCTATTACATGTAAGATATGGTGCTGGGGAGACAAAGATGACTAAGATTGTGCTGGTCACCAGCAAGTTTCCAGGCTAGTTGTGTTGGGTGTGGGGAGATGGAGCACACCACCTTGTATAGTGGTTTGCTAATAGTAGAAACTCAATGAATCTGTTGATTAAAGGAATGTGCAATAATTGAGGTATCACCACTGCAGATGAAAGAGTGATAACTCTACCTGGATGAAAAAAGAAGATGAAGCTTGAAGGATGCATAGAATTTGGCTAAATGAACAGAACAGGGCATTCAAATGAGGAGAACTGCATGGGCAGAGGCTTAGAGGTATGAGAGAATGTGATAAAGTAGGAGTACCGCAGGTAGCTTGCTAGTTAAGGAGGAGAGGATTTAAATGGGAGCTACTTAGGGGGGTAGGATAGATAGTGATGGTTGGGAAAGTTAGGGTGAGGGAGTCGTTTCCTAGAGAATTAAGCAGAGAGTAAGCCAAGCGCCTTTTATGCACTGCTAAGGAATTAGACTTTATTCTGTAGGGAATGCGAACTCTGAAGAATGTTAAGCAATAGAGTGACATCAGATCAGTGAATTAGGAGGTAGTTGTCGTTGTGGGGGTACAGGATGGATTGGAGAGACAGGATGACCTGATAGGTTATTGTCATCCTCTGGGTAGGAAAACTATGTGCACACATCTCCAGAGCTTCTCCCAGCTTTCTTCCAGGGACCCTCCCCTACCAGTCTCACCATGATGGCAACCTAATTACAGTGTAATTGGCTTTCATCCAGCTATATGCATATCTTCCTCCTTTCCATGCAAAGTAGGAGCCCTTTAGTTTCTTCTTCCTTTGTCTGTTTGCAACCCATTTCACATCATGTTTGCTCTTGTTCAGAGACTACTGCCTTTCACTAGTCAGTAACTCTTTGTACTGGGTACTGTTAAGCATTTTATATGCTAGTTTAATTTTTATCAATTCTGTGAAGATAGATACTGTGATAAATATTTTGCATTAAAGTAAATTTAAGCTTAAAGAAGTGGAGTGGTTTGCCCAACATTATATAGTGCAAACAGCAAAGCTGTTTTTTTTTTTAACCTCCAGACATTTCAGTCTAAAGTCCTTGAAGGTGAGAGAAGAAATTCCAAAATATACTGATTATCCAAAAGGAATGTCTTTATAAATAATCATGGAAGTTTGCTTACTGTTTCTTAAAAGTTTCTTCAGTAGTAAAAGTATGTTCTCTAGTGCTGGCTAAACAAAATCAGTTTGAAAATGTAACAGTGAAAAGAGAAAATGTTCTTAAACATTCCTTAAGTAATTTTTAAACTATATGTGGAGCAGGGAGTGTAAAAAAAAATGGAAATGCACACATAAATGGGTTGGTGGGTCAAGAGTAATTATATATTTACCTCCACAATCCTTCCAAGTGGTTTAATTTTTATATGTTATAATTAACAACACTTAGGGAATTTAAAATCTGAAGAAAGAAATGACCTAATTTTACTGATAAACATATTTGTGGGACATGATAGAATATATATTTGGCACCAGCGAGATCTGCCAAATTAGCAGTTGGCTCTGTGAAGCTGAGAGTCACTGAGAAAGGAAGAAGTTCCCCTAGAAATCTCTCATTTCACTGGCTCAGTGGGACAGACCCTGATGCCCACTCAGCAAGGCCTAGAAATACTTTAAAGTCCTGTATTGATAGGTACACACACTGTACCTAGCACAGTGCTAATGATAAAAGTGTCAATAAGAATTATTTACTTGATCTATATCTAAATAATGGATGACAAGCAGTTTCTGGTGAGATGAGTTAGGGAGGACTCTTGAAGGAAGCAGGGTTTCACAGTAAGAAGGGATACCCCTAGAGAGAAGCAGTTTATAGCTGGGTGTAAAAGGTAGTTCTGTAAAGGATGGCAGCCTGTTTTTGCCCTGCCTTGCCAGGTGACCTGATACCTCATCTCCTTTCAACTTAGGCAAGTCTCCTGGCTTGTGAAGGCCTAGCAGGTGTGAGTTTGGTTCCTACTGCAGCCAGCAAGAAGATGATGCTGAGCCAGATTGCCAGCAAGCAGGCCGAGAATGGAGAGCGGGCAGGTAGCCCTGATGTGCTGAGGTGCTCAAGTCAGGTACAGCACTTGAGCCCGTTGTGGTACCTGGGGGATGGGTGGCCCAAGCTCTCTGCCAGGAGATACCAAGCTTTGATTCTTCACTGCTTGTTTAGGGAAGTGGGGAAAGGGGATCCAGCTGGGGAATGAATGAATGTGGGTATTTTAGAGAGCTAAAGGTCTTTTCTGTACCTACAATCCCTTAAGGCCAGAGTACTTGAGCAGGAAATGGATGAGTACTTTTTCTTAACCTTTGAGCAGATGGTTTACTCTCATAAGTTGCCTGAAAGCAGCATTTGGTCTCCTGTCCTGAGATGGAGTGTGAGTTTAGATTTGATTTGTATTCAAAGGGCCACCGAAAAGACAGCGATAAGACCCGAAGCCGCAAGGATGATGACAGCTTGGCTGAGGCCTCTCATTCAAAAAAGACTGTTAAAAAGGCAGGTAATGGGGTTATCCCCAAACTGGTACAGTTTAGTAATGGGGTAATCTGTAATCCTCTTTTTTCCCCTCTATGGCTCAACCCGGAGCTTTCCCTAGATGTTTTGGTCCCCCTTATAGCCAGTGAGCATGTCACCCTGATTTCATCCAGAGACCACTTTGGTAGTTGACCTCTGTCCTCTCCAGAACATCCTTGGTAAGAGAAGGAGGGTTAGGATACATGTCCCTGTGGCAAAGGAACAGGCAGACTCCCTCTCAGGTCCCAATCAGAGTATTGAGTTTAACCAGGCACATAGCTTAACCCACTCCACCTCTTCCTCAGAGGGTCTCTCTGACTCTAAGGGATATGGGAGATGACAGTATCAGAAGGTTTACTTTGTTCAGCAGCTGTAAATAGACCCTGAGTAGAATGGAGTCAAGAGGGGAGCAGAGAGATAGCCTCATAACATGCCTGATTATTGCCCGCAGGTGGTGGTAGTGGAACAAAATGGTTCTTTTCAAGTAAAGATTCCCAAGAATTTTGTTTGTGAACACTGCTTTGGAGCCTTTAGGAGCAGTTACCACCTCAAGAGGCACATACTTATTCATACTGGTAAGTCTCTTGCTCTTATTCAAAGGAGGAGGATAGTCTGTAGTTTAGGGGGTGCGTGTGTGCACACGCGTGCGCACTTTTTGTCGGGTTAAAAGAGTAAGAGAAATAGAAGAAAAAGATAAGTGAATGAGGTAGATTGCATGATTCTAAATCTAGTGTCACTGAGACCAGCAACTTTGGGGTCTCTTCCCCATTAGGTGTACGCACATTGCTAAAAGTTAAAATTTCTGAGAAAATACCTGGAGCAAGGTCTCTGCCATGTGTCTCTTGACATTAACTTCTCTCGCCACCTGAACCAGGTGAGAAGCCATTTGAGTGTGATGTATGTGATATGCGCTTCATCCAGAAGTACCACCTGGAGCGTCACAAGCGTGTGCACAGTGGTGAAAAGCCCTACCAGTGTGAACGGTGTCATCAGGTAAGCTCACATGCTATCCATTATCCTATACACAAACCTTTCCTTCCTCAAGAATCAGGGCCAGCCCCCACTTCCTGCCTGAACACTGGTCACCTAGTGTTCCTGGCCATTATTGAGTTAGTTAGTATCTCAAGGTGAGGTACTAACTCAATAATGGCCAGGAACACTAGGTGACCAGTGTTCTCTGGCTTTGTGCAGCTGATCATGGAGAGAGATCATTAGAATAAGTGTAGTAATAATAGCATTTCTTAAGGGCTTACTCTGTGCTAGGCGCTGTGAGAGCATACTTGACGTAGATTATTTTATTCTCACAGTAACTCCATAAGGTGGCTGTGTTGTCCTCATTTCACATATGGGGAAATTGAGATTCAGAGAGGTTAAGCTTCCCAAGGACACAGCAGATCAAAGGCATAGCGAGGATTCAGTTGAACTTCAGAGTTGATGCACTTTGGAGAAAGGGAAGTAATCTCTGCGCTGAGGGTCAGTATCTGATCTGATGCTAATGTAAGAGCCAGGACCAAAACAAGACAAGAGATGAGAAATAACAACTGATATCTCCTGGATGCTTTGCTAGGTTTCAAGCTTTGTTCCATGCTCTTACATTGAATCTTCAGAACACTAGAATGAAAGCTCCATGAGGCAGACTTTGTCCCTCGGATTCTTCACTCTGTCCACAGCCCCACGAACTGTACCTGCCTTGAGATAGATGCTCAATAAATATTTGATGAACGAAGCAGCCACACTGTGAGTAGGTACTTTTAGCCCCATTTTACAGATGAATGTACAGATTCAGGACTGTTAGATAACTCGCCCAAAGTTGCACAGCTACTTAGTGGTAAAGTCAGGATTCAGACTTGAAGCTTGCTTGTACTTAACCACTGTGCACTCATGCCATCCATGTACGTGTACTTACTGAGGCTTCGTAGAATGGTTCATGTGCCTCCTGTGTGGGGAAGACAGATCTAGCCAAGAGGTAGTCGAGTTTCTCCACTCTGGCACTTAACCCTCCCTTTCTTCTCAGTGTTTTTCTCGGACAGATCGATTACTCAGACACAAACGGATGTGCCAAGGGTGCCAGTCCAAGACTTCCGATGGGCAGTTTTCTCTATAGGCGCAAGGGCCCTGGGTGGTGGGAGTGATCAGAAGAATCTACCGAAGAGCGCATCCCCCTCTGGTCTGATGGTCCCACCACCACCCCGTGTGTACTGTCCCCTCCTGGAGGAGTGGACCCAGGAGACCAGAAGAATGCATCAGGGGACAGCGGCCCCAGAGCCTCAGCTCTGTAAATAATCTGAGACTATGAGTATCTCGGGGAAGTTCCTACAGCATTCCTGGGTAGGGAAGCTAGTCTCTGGACCCTTGGCTGAGGTCATAGATGGGGGACTCAAGGTACAGGACCAAGACTGAAGTGTGGCGCCCACAACCTTGGACTCCAGCTGGCAGCCGAAATGGAAAAGATTCGGGAGAGGGATTTGTTTATTTGTCCTGTTTTTGTTTATTCAGAAGCAATTTCAGCAGGTGCACTGTGGATACAGGTAATCTGGAGGCATAGAGTCCTGGTCACAGGGACAGTGGTTGGTCCAGCCCTCCCCCAAAATTGAGCTTTTAGTAGCAAGTGATCCTCAGTGTTCCACAGCCCTGCATTTCACCACCTCCTGTTTGAAGGAGAATAGGATCAGGGATGACAGCTAAGCTTACTTTGGCCTCCTTATACACTGTAGGGACAAAAGGAAGAACTGTAGGAGGAGCACACGAGGGCTGGATCGAAGAAGAGTGGACAGGTACCTCTTATTTCCTATGGGGAAGAGTAAGATTTGTGCCGATGGGTGTTGTAATGGCCTATGCCACTGGTACCTAATGGGGTCAGCTCAAGTGCCTTTTGGAGGAAACTTGGGTGAGAGTGGCCCGTGAAGCTCTTTCCTTCTCTCTTTGGGCAGTTGATCTTGAAGATAGAATGTGGCTACCTCGCTGCCATTGACTCCTAAGCCAGACAGAGGTGTTGAGCGGGGAGTCATGGATATCAAAGTGGGTTCTCTCTCCTTGTGCCCTCTTAGGAACTACCCAAAACTAGTCCTAAGTTGAGTAACAACTGTTCAAGAAACAAGAATTTGGTGTCCTCTGCCATGACTGTTGAGCAGTGTGAGCTATTCTCCTTGCCCAAGTCCTATCACTGTATTGAGGTGGAGGAGAGAGGGTCTGGCCTTTGGTCCCAAAGAACAAGATCTTGGCTTCTTTCTGGCCATCCCTACCCAACAAAGAATTGGCCAGGCGGTGAAGGGGGGCGGGGGGGGGCGGGGGCGGGTGGTGCTGCAGAGAAAGGACTGAGGAAGAAACCTAATGTAGGTTTTTTTCTTAACCATATTCTTTGCTCCTCTCTGCTCCAACACCACCACCCTATCCACCCTCAAAAAGGTGATCAGGGGTGTGTGTGTGTGTGTGTGTGTGAGAGTGAGTGAGTGAATGATGTATTCATGTTTGTATGCTTGAAGATGGCATATTGAGCCAAACCCTTCTCTGGCCCGCTACTTAGGGGAGGATGAGCATAACAGCCTTCC